TGCATGTTGACCAGGAAGCAATTCTACGATTCTGCAAGGCCCATCCAATGCCATTTGCCTTATGGGCAAAACCAGAGGCAGAAATCAGGAGGCTGGGAAGCAAAGGAATCATCAAACCAGAGAGAGTAGGAACTGCCGATGCTGGAGAATCTGGGATAACAGGAGGCTGGGAAGCGAAGGAATCATCAAACCAGTCCAGTTTGCGAAATGGGCAGCACCTGGTCATACCGATTGTGAAGCCTGATGGCTCAGTTCGCCTTTGTGGGGATTTTAAGCAAACGGTAAACCGTTTCTCGCAGCTGGATAAATACCCAATCCCTCGCAGAGGATTTATACACAAAGCTGGCAGGGGGACTATCCTTCACAAAGTTGGACATGAGCCATGTGTACCTGCAATTACAGTTAGATGAGGATTCCCAGAAGTATGCTACAATTAATACTCATAAGGGTTTGTACCAATATATGAAACTGTCATTTGGGGTATCAATTTCCAGTGGATGATGGAGAACATTTTACAAGGTGTACCTCAGGTTGCCATTTATCTGGATGACGTGCTAATAACCGGGAAGACCAATAAAGAGCACAAGGAGAAATTGGACATAGCGCTTCAACATTTCTCCCGTACGATAAAAGGATAGTGTTGGCTCACCGGTGGCCCAGCAGAGAGGAATGCCCGATAGCGTATGCTTCCTGGATTTTGGCAGAATGAAGATACACTCAGATAAAGAAGGAAGGTTTGGCGGTGATCTTTGGTGTGAGGAAGTTGTACCAATAGCTTTACGGCCACAAATTTGTAACAGTAGCAGACCACAAATCACTGATCAGCCTACTGAAAGAGGACAGGACGATACCGCCCATAGCTTCAGTTCGAATTCAGCGGTGGGCCCTTATTCTCAGTGCATACAATTGTAAGTTGGAATACCATCCAGGAGGCCAATTGGCAAATGCGGATGCCTTGTGCTGCGTCCCACTGATGATTATCACTGTGCCACCACTGGAAGAGTCCATTCTGGTTTTCAACTGTCTGGGCACTCTTCTGGTCACCGCAGCTAATATCAGACTGTGGGCACAAAAGGATCCTGTCCTGACAAAACTGAAACAGCTGGTGACAATGGGGCAAAATCACAAACAGAACTGAAACCTTTCCGGACCTGGAGAGACCGGATCATTAGGATGGCATTTTATTATGGGGAGCATGAGTGATTGTCCTGAGAAAAGGTTGCTGCCAGATACTGGCTGAGCTTCATCAGGGTCATCCAGGGGTTTCCAGCATAGACGTGTTGGACAGAAGGGTCTGTTTCCATGCTGTACAACTCTATGACTCTGTGTTGCTGAGACGTGATGTCTGGTGGCCAGGATTGGATGCTGACATAGGCGCATTGGTGGGGCAGTGCCCAGAGTGCCAACAAGGACAGAAATTACAACCAGCAGCAGCTCTCCCCACATTTGTGCGAATGGCTGGGTCAACCCTGGACTCGGTTCCACATCAATTATGCCAGTCCTTTCATGGGCTCAATGTTTTTAGTCATTGTGGATGCCCATTCAAAGTGGCAAACCTTGAAGGCAGGCTTAAGGAAACAGCCCACAACTTTACTCAATACCAAACAGTCCCGGTTCCGATTTGATTATAGGACCACCCCTCACGCAACTACAGGGACAGGTCCAGCAGAGTTACTGATAGGGAGAAGACTCCGCAGCAGGTTGAATCTGTTTATCCCAAGCCTGGAATGGGGGGACGGTGAAATGGCTTCAGGAACGCTAATGCTGGACACAAGACTCCACTAGGTGAGGGAGGCAGTTTACTTCAGGGGACGAAGTTTGGCGTCAAAAGCTAAGGAATGGACCTGCATGGGTAAGAGGCATGGTCAATGTGAGGTCAGGTCCGGTGATGTACAAATTTCGGGTTGGTGAGGCGGATGTGAACAAGCATGTGGATCACATGAAAGCAAGAAAGGAGTAAAACATACCCAACCCCTCAGAATATCCAGCGCGGCTGTCAGGGCCCATGGGTTCTCCCAATCTGCTGAGCGTTGAAGGAACCTCTGAGGATGAGATGGGCATGACAGATGTCGCAGCTTTGATGCCGTTACTGCCAGATGAAGAAGATGAATTTTGGCCGAGAAGCTTCGGGTGGGCTACTGTCTGGTACATGCTGCCAGTATCCAAGGCAGAGTCGGAGGAACCGGACCTGGTGTGAAAACATTCCAGGAGAAGCTACAGGGCAAAGAATGGGCTTACGTCTCAGGACTGAGAGGAGGACGGATGTAGTGATTGTAACAAGGTCAGCCAGGTGCACCTCAGTTCTGGGGAGGGGTCATTGGTCCCGAAATGTTAACTCTGTTTTTTCCTTCACAGATCCTGCCAGAACTGCAGAGCTTTTCCAGGAACTTTGTCGTTGCACCTCATAGAATATGAGATCCCTAATTGGGGCTGTTAAACTTGTCCAAACAGGGAACCCTGGCTGATAGATATAATCAAGAGTTTCAGAGGTTCTGTTCATTCCAGGAGCCAGCTTTGAGCGAGCTGGGTCAGTGTAATGTACTATGCAAATGAAAAGAAAAGATGGGATACCAGCTTTAATGGAGTTTTTTCAGGGAGGTGGTGTTGGTGGAGGATGTTATGGACGAAGGGAGAGGTGGTGTTGGT